TCCTTTCCGTAGCTGCCAGTGTCCTTTCCGTAGCTGCCAGTGTCCTTTCCGTAGCTGCCAGTGTCTTTTCCGTAGCTGCCAGTGTCCTTTCCGTAGTTTCCGCCTTGGTTTTCTGCTATAGTCAGCTCTGACACCTTGTGAGATGTTTGAATGATTCACATACTCAAGTCACTGCCCTTATTGCCAAGGTTGGAGGAGTCGTAGGAGCTAGCGTTGTTATTGAAAGATCCACCGTGGTACGCTATGCAGTGTCAGCAAATCAGGAACTAACCCAAAGGGAATTCGGATCTCAAATCCTCACCATCATTGGAGCCATAGTTAGAACCCTGCTTAGCAGAGTCATACTGGCCACTGCTTCCCTTGGAAGAAGAGCCGTGGCCAGTAACGGCGTCCTTGACCTTGTGTACAATGTTGTCCATGACGAATAGCGAATGTCAACAATAGAAATGTAAAATAAATCCTTTCAATGATGAAAGCTTTGTTGATTGGAATAATCTAATGGTTTTTCTTCTTTTGAATCCCGAGTATCAATTGGGTTTATATAACCCAATCTCCGTATTCCCCCATGTCCATCTCAACGCGCAACCCTCCAGAATCAATCCCGGTTCGGTGACTTTCATGACGCCATATGCGGGGGATGTAACAAGATCTAAGGGAGCATACCACTCGATTGACGTTGGGATGGCATAACGCTTGGGTATGTTTGGTTGTAGAGAGTGGACATGGTGTAGTCTCGACGTCATCGTTCCAGATAATCGCGCCAAGATATATACTTGCCTCAGGCGAGTACACTAGCCACAAAGAGCCACACTAATGCACTGCCATTCGGCCCCGCTCAGGATAGACTCGAGGCGTCATCAATGCATTTTAACCTCAATCTCGTTACACCAGTCTCCTTATCATACCTCATCTTCATCTTTTCGTGCTTACCATGTCAAATCGCGCTTTTACGGAGTACTACGATGTAAGCCGCTGTGGCTAAACGGCTCAATAACGGCAGTGGACCCGATGATGGCATGATCTGCGGGGAGACGGGCGGTAATAATATGTATGTATTACCTACTTCACGGCTTTGTCTGGGGAGATACAGTTAGAGTACAATAAGTCTAGTATAGTGCTCGTTAGATAATGCTACTCTGTATACTGGAGGCGCATAATTCTATATAAGAAAGGCTAGCAATATCCAGAGTACAGCCATACTAAGTATGGATTAGTGCTAGATCACATGAACAATACAAGACAATACAGCCATTACATACAGCAGTTAGGCAGAGTCATTTGCCCGCCTCCATTCCTCTCTTCTCCATCTTTTCTCCTTCCTTTTTTTTTTTTTTTTCCT